AAACCCCTAACCCCAAACCCTAAACTCTACACTTACTTCCTAAAGCTTCCCTAAACTTCCTTAAACTTCCCTAAACCCTAAACTCCAGCCCCTAAGCCCAAAGCCAAAGACCCTTAACCTTCAACCTTTCCGGGCTCGGATTCGGTTTCGACCCTGCCAAGGTCTACAACGTGAACGAGATTGGTCGTGAGCCCATCTTGGAGATTTCTGTAGTAGTAGTAGTAGTAGTAGCAGAAGTCGTCATACTACTACTACTACTACTGCTGCTGCTGCTGCTGCTGCTGCTGCTGCTGCTACTCCTGCTGCTACTACTACTACTACTACTACTCCTGCTGCTACTACTACTACTACTGCTGCTGCTGCTGCTACTACTACTACTACTGCTGCTACCAGTTACTAGTCTTATGGTTCTATTGTCACAATTAATATATTTATTACTTGCTCTTGACGGAGTATGTTATGCTGTCGTAGTGGGACAACCAGCAACGATCTGGATGCGATTTCCGGGTTTAGCCCGCAGCCTTGTCCTGGAACGTTAACTGCGGCAGAGGTGTTGAGGGACGAGTTTACGGCCAGTTTGGGTTTTGGGGTGTAAGTGAGAGACAACCAGGTCCACGAATGATTGAGTACCGCGCGAAGTCCCTATAGGCTGCAGTGCCCTCGCCTTGCTCCCGCACCTTTGTGGCGCGCAAATGCTACAGCCTGCAAAATGGGAGTTAGTAAGATCCTTTTTATGGCGCGGACCTGTACATTGTACATAAATTGCGCTAACCTAACGTTAAGAAGCCCCTCTCAACTTCGCTTGCAGACGGCCGACAGGTGGTCCATATTGCTGCAGGCATTTCCAGCTGTCTCAAGCCCGCCGCAAACTTACCCCGCTCCTTTATTTCCAGTGTCTCTGCTGCAAGATTGACGACACAGAGCGGCCCACACCCCTTGATTTAGCAATAAACCGTAAAGCCTTAAGTTACAGGGGAGTCTAAGTTATGTTTCAACGGCCAGTCGACCTTTTAAAAGCCCTTGTGCAAATCTCTGTGCGATAACTCCGCCCCGCCCCGCCCCGCCCCTAAGCCCTAAGCTCTAGGTTTGGCTAGGATGTAAGATCTCGGAGTCTAGGAGGAACCGCCATAACTCCAGATCCCAAGCCCAGCAAACGAAGGATCGGGTAATGGAGGTGCCCATGGTTAAACTGAACCTTTATAGTACCTTTATAGAAACCCTAGAAAGCCTTATAGATCCCTTTAAGGAACCCTTTATAGAAACCCTATCGAAAGCCTTATAGATCCCCTTAAGGAACCCCTAAACGGGACCCTAATTTAAATCACTCCCCCCAAACCCCGCCAACCCAACGCTTCAGGGTTATATACCCCTTTTCAGGGTTCGCTAGGGTTTAGGGTTTAGGGTCTAACCCCTAAGCCCTAGACCCCAAACCCTTAAACCCTAAACCCTTAAACCCTAAACCCTAAACCCTTAAACCCTAAACCCCCAAACCCTAAACCCCTAAAACCCTTAAGCCCTAAACCCCTGAACCCTAAACCCTCAATCCTAAAGCCCTAAACCCTGTAAACCCGAAACCATAAACCCTGTAAGCCCTGCAAACCCTATAAACCCTATAAGCCCTATAAACCCCCAAAACCTCTGTAAACCCTACAAACCCTATCAACCCTATCAACCGTAAAATCACCAAAACCCAATAAACCCTATAAGCCTTATAAAACCTAAAGAACCCTACAATAAAAACCCTATAAACCCTAAAGCCCAAACCCTGGCGAAACCCAGGTTTGGAGGCTCAAGGCTTTAGGGTTTTGGGCTCAAGGTGGAGATTCTGGGTTTGGGGGTTTAGGGGGTTTGAGGGTTTAGGGTTTAAGGTATAGGGGTTTGAGGGCTGAGGGTTTAGGGACCCTAAAGCCAAGAAGGTTTAGAGGTTTAGCGGTTTTTTGGGAGTTTAGGGCGTTTAGGGGGTTTGGCCCTGCATTACATGCATGACATCAAAACCTGATCCCTTGACCGCAGATTGTAGAAACCCAAATGGATCCCCGAAGAGAGGTTTAGGGTTTAGGGTTTAAGAGTATTTCTATGGTATTCCACAGCACACCCTAAACCCTAAACCCTAAACCCTATAGAACCCGCATGGCAAGCGCCGCAGATCTTCCTGAGCCTGAGGTCTGATCCCTCGAGCTCAGAAGGAACACTCAAACCCCCAACTATCGTTGCTGACTAGGGTTTAGGGTTTAGGGTTCAGGGTTTAGGGTTTAGGGTTTAGGGTTTAGGGTTTTAGGGTTTAGGGTTCAGGGTTTTGGGTTTAGGGTTCAGGGTAATCTAGGGTTACTTGGAGGAGGTAGCCTTTTTGGCTGAAGCTCAGTCTTTTTTTCCCGGCCGGGTCTGGTAGTACGACCTCGGTCATGGCTGTGTGTGCTCATGCCGGAACCTCCACAAGCCTTCCGGGCTCCGTGACCTTTGATGAGGGCCACGCCATGATACCTACACCGAGGTTGAAAAGTGGGTGTCGCACGAAGCGGTACGAGAAGAATCAGGAGAGATAATACTAAGGGTTTGAAAAAATTTCTGCGAAGAGTCACCGATAGTCCCGAGGTACTTACGTTGTAACACACCCAAAAAGCCAGGTAACTAAGTACCAGGAGCCAGATGACGATGAGGAAGTTGACTTCGACCCGATGACCGATCTTACAAAGAGAGAGCTGGTGCACAAGAAGGCATTGGTTCAGATAAGCTCTTGGCTGCGATCCTACAACTTCTGGGACCTGGATGTGAATGAGCAGCAGGTGACTAATCCCAGCGGCTGTTTTCTGTTCCGGAGGCCAGAGTCCATGCGTCCCATCCATGTCGCGGCCAAGCTCGGCCACATGCGGATCGTAAAGTCTCTCCTCCTGGCACGAGCAGATCCCAAGCAGAAGACGTCCCGGGGCCGCACGGCGCTTCAGATCGCGCGGAAGGCGGACAAGGACCGGGGTTCTTGTTAAGGAACTTCATTCAAGCTACCGTAATCGGAATCCACAGTATATAGTAGCGTGGCCTCTTAAACCCGAAAATAACATAAGAAGAAACCTATAGTTACTATAGTAGATAATAGGGAATAGGGTTTGCTCATATCCCTTAGTATATACTCGGATTTCCATATAAACCCTCAAGCGTAAGGAGGGCTCCCATCGCGAGACGGTGGAGGTTCTCGAGGCTGCCGAGACGACTGTCTCAGTCCCGCGAGCCATTGAGCTGATGTGTAATTGAGTGCACCTAGTAAACAGGATTGAAGATCAACAATAATCACAACAAATAACAAGAGTTTCCATTATCATTATTATCAATAATAATATTGAAATTATGATTAATAACAAGAACAACCTCAATAATTAACTAATGAACCACAAATAGCAACAATAGTAAATATTGGTAATACTACCAAAAATTTTCAATCACAATCATAACACCTCTTCGCATTCAGCGGGAACTCATGCTAGGAGTTTGGGATTTAAAGCTTAGGATTTAGTGTAGTTTTCCTGCATCTGAAGCGACGTTCCCGCTGTGCCAGAGAATGGGCCTGTGGCTACATCCCGAGCAGTGCTGTGCAGTCGGTTTTCATGGAGGCCATAGCCACAAGTCTGCTAGCCCTCAACCCTAGACCCTTTCTTGGTTGCAAAAGCCAGGCCAAACAGTTCCTTTGCAACTGGCTCTGCTGGTTGCTGACTGGGTTGCCGACCGTTTCTTGTTTAAATTAACAATCGTGAAGACTCAGCGTCGCTTTGGCAGACATGCCCGTGGTGGCTTGAAATCAACGATCCTGATGGGAGCACTGGTTAGTTTGGGCTTTTGAGTTGCCCAAACTCTAAACTGTACAAGGTAGTAGTGGTTGTGGTCGCAGGAAGCTTTAGAAGTTTAGGTTTTGGTTCAGGGTTGTGGTCACAGGTTTTTGGACATCCATGGTGCAGCCATCACGAAGCGATGTGCCATTTTCCTGTCCTATTTTCCCGTTCATTGAAACTCAAGCAGGTTTCCAATTCCTTTGGAATCACAGCTTTAACTTTAAAGCCCAGCAGCCGTGAGGCATGCGGCATGATCTTCTGCCACGCAGAGCATGCAGAAGCTTCAGCCACGTCTCGGTTCTTGCGATGATCTCGGTTGAAACACTCTAGGTTACCACGAAATTCTAGTTTAAACCCTAAGGGCCGTTGCTTCGCAGGAACCCTCGACCCGGAACCTGAATCAATCTTAGTGATTCTCGGATCCTGCGCCGGCTAGCAAGAACTTAGCAAGCCTGAACCTCAGTGGTTGGAAAGGGCCAGATGGTAACTGGCTCGAGCTTGGTGTGTCCGTGGAGCCGTGCGATCCCGCCAAACACTCGGCTGGGAGGCCCTCGGCTTCGCCGCACTGAGCCCTGGTAGCTCTGACGAGGAGTCGCAATGCGATCTTACTAGGTTTTAGACTTTTTCCCTTGAAGGGTTCCTTTTAAAACCCTGAACCCTAAACTCTAAGCCCTTAAGCCCTAGACGGCCCTAAACCCTAAACTTTCGTTTTGAGGGATCTCCAAGGGATACTATGGGGATTGATTACTACGAAGGCTGCAGGGTTTAGGCTTCTGGTCGGAGTAAACTCCTACGGAAGTGCAGCGGTCTTCGTTCCGGGTTTAGGGTTTTGGGGTTTAGGGATTTAGGGTTCAGGGATTTAGGGTTTAGGTGTTGAGGGGTTTAGAGTTTAGGGGTTTAGAGGTTAGCGTTTAGGTTCGGGGCAGGGGCCGCGAATTGTCTGTGGGATCTTTGCGACTCCTGCAAGTGAGGCGCACTCAACCAGTAAGCCCCAGTACCCTTGAACCAAGGAAGTCATGTGAAGGATCGCCTTTTAGGGTTTAGGCTGTGGTTTAGGGTTTAGGGGTTTAGGGTTTAATTAGCGTTTAGGGTTTAGGGTTTAGGGTTTAGGGTCCCTAACCCTAAACCCTGTTTTATCAGCTACAGTTTAAGGGATATTTCTGATTCAGGAAGTCAGGGGCTTTCGTGGCAGTTCTTGGAACTCCAGCGGTGAGGGCAGGGGTTCAAAGCCCCGCCCTGCCCGTGGGACAAGGCGGAGAGCGCCTCATAATCTGCATTTGCATTAGCTAGCAGTCGGCCATGATCCAGCAGCGGAACTCTAACGAGCAAGGCGAGCCGCTCTCGCTTGGAAAAGGGTGCTAGCGATTTTGGCTGCAGCTCCCTAAACCCTAGCCCTAAACCCTAAACCCAAAGCCCTAAACCCAAGACTCTAAACCCTAAACCCCTGAACCCTAAACCCTAAACCCTTGAACCCTAAACCCAAAACCCCTTAGCCCTAAACCCTAAACCCTAAATATGGGGGGGGATCAGGGTTAGGGGTTGGTAGGGCCCTGGTTCATGGCTGGGTGTGCCAGAAGCCTCTAGAAGCATTCCGGGCGTCGTGACTTCTTGATGAGGTTTAGGGGTTTAGGGTTTCGGGGTTTAGGGTTTAGGGGTTTAGGGTTTAGGGTTTACCTTGTAGGGTTGGGGGTTGGTGTTGGTGGCCGGACACTGGCAGCATTGACCCCTAAACCCTACACTCTACACCTGCACTCGAAACCTGAACCCCAGATCGATAAAGATCTTTGTTTAGAAAAGATTCCAAATCTCATATAGGGCTTGGAAGCATTCGTACTCATACTTCCCGTACACTCCCAATGTAACTTCTCTTTCATACTGCCCCAAACCTCCATTCTAAGTGTTCAGGCCTCTATGTTAAACCCCCCTTGGGATGAGGTCATGGCTGCTCCTGAGCCCGACTACTATGCGACCCGGCGGCCCATGCTTACTGTAGAGGGTCCTGCCAGGCTTCTAGAAGGTTTAGGGGCTGGGACTTTTGGAGTGTAGGGCTTTTGGGGTATGGGCCGTAAGACTGTAAGGCCTCGCAGGGAGTGAGGCGCTGTACAAGGGCTCAGGCGTTTGAAGGTTTGGGGTTCAGGGTTTAGGATACTGGGTTCATTGCGCTGACCGCAATCCATGATTAAGAGGTCATATCAGAGTTGAATCGGGACAATGAGATCTATGAGATCCAGCACGAGAGGAAACATGGCAGTTCTGCGACTGATGCTGCAGAGCTGGAAAGGCGGAAGCAAGAACGACCCCCTGCTGCAGCAAGAACAGGCATATCCAGATCACTGAGCAGGTTACCTATGACAGGTTCGCGTGCAATAACACAGTCAAGAACGAGAAAAACGACGGCAAACACTGCAGCGATCGTGGCCACCATAACCATGACAATACCGCTATTCATCATCATCATCATCATCATCATCATCATCAGCATCAGCATCAGCATCAGCATCAGCATCATCGTCGTCGTCATCGTCATCATCATCATCATCATCAGCATCATCACCACCATCATCATCATCATCATCATCCTGATACTCATGAATTTCATCATCATCATCGTCATCATCATCATAAACATCATCAGCATCGTCATCTTCATCATCGTCATCATCATCGTCATCCTTATCATCATCATCATCATCTCCACTTCACCACCAGCATCAGCCTCATCATAATAATCTTCACCAGCATCGTCATCTTCATCATCGTCATCACCATCGTCATCCTTATCATCATCATCTCCACTTCACCACCAGCATCAGCCTCATCATCGTCATCATAATCATAATCATAATCATAATCATAATCATAATCATCATCATCAGTATCAGTATCATGATCATTAATTTCGTCACCGTCGTTACCACCACCCATTATCACTACCACCATCACCATTGTCGGCATCATCGCCACCATGCTTGTCATCATCGGCATCATCAGAGTGCATTGCATCACCCTGGGTTATGCTGGTCGCCATCAACTATTAGCAACCATCCCTTATACCCTCACGCCTGAACCCTAAAACCTCAACCCCGCGACCCTAAACACTAAGACCCTACACCCTAAACC